ACTGCAAGAAAATACCTTACACTAATAACTGAAATTAGGCCCAGTGACTTTACAAGTAGTAACCGGTGATTCTTATCTTGAAGGTTTTGTAACATATGTAACATATGCCTTTTGATGTAAGTTAACCCTTTTCGGCACAGGAACTTACAATTTGCAGGGGGCCATAAGGGAATTTCATGTGCGCAACAATAATAAAATAATCAAGTGGCTATCACATAATGTACTACACATACATTATTTTGTGAAACACCACTTGATAGCTCAGAAAGCAAGAAATACTGCATCCTTTCAGTCATTGATTTTTCCATCAAGTGACTGTTTTAACTGCTGGTCAAGCAGTTAATCCCAGTCATATAATGACATAGAGGTTGGCAGTGGCATCTTGGCTGACTGTTATAGCAGTGGGACTGCTCATCTACTGATTTTTCTTGTCTGACTCCTCACAAATTGCCAGATTTGTACTACTAGTATCTTTCTTCTCATTATTTGAGATATCATACAATACAGTAATTTTGTCATCAGAATTGACTTGCACATCCACGTCTGATTTCTGAAGTAACTGGTTTTCAAGAGGTTTGTCAGTGATTTAGTTTCAGCTTGTATATGTGTTTAGTGCTTGTATGCCCTCTGCATCATCTCTGTAAATTGTAATTGATATCAATGAGGTATTAACAGATAAGATGTGAACCAGTCCACTCAGATACAAATTGTTTCTACACTGCATGCACATACTACAAACATATTCAGTCACCAGGCTTAAACTTTGTTCCACTACTGTTTTATCGTACCATCTCTTTAGACATGTGACAGCTTTACCTATTTGCTACCATGTGAACTTGGATGTCAGTTATTGCAGAAAGCAGCCATTCCACATATTCTTGTGGGTGCTGAGGTACCTTTGTACTAGATGAAGGACCATACATCATATCCACTGGGAGCTGTACTTCTGACTATACATCATATCCACTGGGAGCTGTACTTCTGACTTAAATGTCAGAAAATGTGGAGAAAACAAGTTGACTGTTGCTCAGTTTTGTGTTATGCCATCATGACATATGTTAGATGATAATCTCAATCAGGAATAACAATTCCTAAAACTTGACATAACAACTAGCTATTAAAGTTAGCTCTTTGATCTGTGTGGATCTCCAAATCTTGAAATCCATTGTTCAGTCAATACATCTGTGATGGACAGCACTAATGTGGCAGTTAATGAATAAGCTTCAGCTTGCTTGATAAAGTAATTGATAATGACCAGTGCATACCTATTTCAAGTTGGGGAGGAGGACCAGCTATATACAAGGCAATTCTATCCAGAGACAAACCTACTACTCTCTGTTTTAAGTTCTTAATTCTACAAGGCAATATTTAACAAAATCCTGAATTTCCACTAGTGTGACCCACGTGACACATTTTCTCTTAGCATGTCATCATCCCTATTTTATCCACCACCCCTTGAAAAAGTATGAAATTATACATAAATTACTCTATAAAATCGTTATTGCTCAGACAAACCAAAATGTTGAAAGTCTTTAATTTTGTTTGGTTACAGAGCTATCAAATAGAAAATTAGACCCCTCCTGCCACACCCACCTGTCACATCCTATCTTTCATAATTCGTTAATAGTTCTCTTTTATGTTTCATTATATACTACCTATAACCAATGGAAATTCAAGGTTTTCATCTGCCAAATGATGTAGTGTGTAATGTTATATTTTGAACAGTTAGAAGTCAATTTCATTCAGAGTAGCAACATCATTCCTGTGGGAAAGTTAACGGCTAGCTTGGATGAATTTGTAATGGCTCTTGTCGCATAGTTAGAAAGTCAGAAAAATT